GAGCCTCTTCTGGGTCTCCTGTGTGGGTGCAGGGTCCCAAAGCTTTGGGCCGTCCTCGACTGCTTTCCCGGGCCACAGGCAGGGAGCTGGAAGGGAAGCGGGGCTGCTGGGATTAGAACTGGCGCCCATATGGGATCCCGGGCGTGCAAAGCGAGGAACTTACCCACTGCGCCACCGTGTCGGCCCGAAATCTTAGCGTTGTTAATCTCATCCAGATTGTCGCAAATAAGCCTACAAGATACAACACAAGTAACAGCATTATTGAAAATGTTTACAAAGTGATTGCATGCAAATAAGGTTGCCTCTTCTCCTGAACAGGATCCAGGCATACAGTGCAAATGTCATCATGGAACCAACCAAGAAGCAGAAAACACAAGGCCCAAGTGTCTACCAGAAGCATAACTAAATCAATCATCAATCTAACTAGCAATAAATAAGTAATGAAAAGGATACCTTATATAATCCGAGGCATGAATTAATCAATTCACATGATGACTGGATCAAAAGGAGGAAGAATTACGATGTTTGGAATAACACAATGCACCAGGTGAAAGCACAAAATGCTATTCCATTAAAAAATGGTGGGGTGTATATTGGCAAGAGACTAGAGGAGTAGGAAAGGAGACTAACTTAAAGAGAAATGCAACCAAAGAAGGTATATGTATGTAAGACCTGTAACATCCACGGCAAAATGAACCAAATGCATGGAGAACATAAGAAGTGTGGTGGGATGGTTGTGGATGTTCGACACTCATAGGATTGTCTCTCAGCTGCCACAGGTTATATTAAGCTAGGGATCACAGTGACATCACAGGCACTTGCATGGATGAGTTGAACCAACAAGAAGGTGATAGCACACCAACTTTGGTGGGCCATGATCAAGTGAGATGTCAAAGCTCTAAACTTGAGCTACAGCCTCGGCCGTCATTCTTGCTTCAGTCACATAACCCATTGTGCTGTTCTGGTGACAGGGAGCATTCTAATTGGCTGCATCTCTGAATTCACAGGGCTCTATGGTCATACAAGCTGTCCAATCAGCAACTGCCTGGTCACAACAACCCAGAATCCTGCAGCCTCAGCATTCTAGAAATTCCATGGTGAGACAGGCTCCTCTGCCTGCCCGAGACAGATGGCAAGTGGCTCAAGTTCTGTTTTCAGTAGTCTTTCTCCCCACATGCCATGACAGGGAGGATGTTCAGCCTCCCTGGAAGTCAGCAGATCATGAGTGTAAGGGGCTGGGTGTCCCATAAGTGTTAGTGTGCAAATCTGCTGAAAATGCAATGAAGTCTAGGGCTTTTTCAACACTGGTACTATGAAAGAGTTTCATTTTTCCATCGATGAGGATCTCCAAGGATCCAAATTGATCCTAGTTCTCCATTCAAGTCTTGCATCCAAGCTGAGCCTCTCCCCAAGAAGTGCAGTCCAGACTACTTTGCTAATCAGTAAAGTTTATTCAGTAGTTTCTGACTAGGAAGAGTCTTTTCAAATTATTCTAGAGTAATGTATATAGAAGTAGCAGGTTTCTCCCAGGGCCATGCAAAGGCCTTCCTCTGTAAAAAACAGATCTAGTCCTCATCTGTTTTGTAGGACCACCTTGGACAAAAAGTTTAAGGAGCATTTTAGTGGCACATTGGAGTTTCTTATTCAGAGAGAGCCATACCTATTTATTTACCTAATATATGGAAGTTTTGGCTACTAGGCATGAGGGCAGTCCCTCCCATAGGGGATTCAGCTATTCCCAGTCTACCCATAACTGGTACTATGGCAGAGGCAGCCCTCTTTTTTCTCTGGGCCAGTTCCCAGTGTATTCTTTGTCCTTCCCCCAAATAGTAGTATATTTGGAATTAGGTGGACGAGGGTACACATTCTTGTGTTGGTGTGTGATAATCCCATTCGTGAAAGGCAGGAGGTGATTTCTACAGTACAAGAAAACTATGATTCTTCTGGAGCTACTAGGCAACTATTTTCTTGAAGGTCCCCAAGGATGAGTTTGTACAGTTGGCTCCATGAATTTTGGTAAGAGGACCTACCAATATTAAGCTCACTATTTAAGAAACAGGTAACTCATCCTTCAAGATCCCCAAGAGTGATCTTGGGTTCCTTACCCCACCAGCAAAGCCCCTGGGCATGGGCTTGTTCAACACTTACAATGTGGATATGTTGGGGTAGTTGTGCTACAGTGCTATTGGTGACAATGCATACATAACATGGTGGTTCAGAGATGACACATGGCCAGCAATCCTGGGTGTCACTGGAGTTTGTTGCATTAAGAAAAAGAAACACTGAGTCTAACATATTTAAGAGAGATCTATGTGGGTAATTGAGTTACTTTCTGAGGGTGACCTGTTGCTTCCAGTGCTGTAATTTGCCCTATGGAAGAGGTACCTGAAGACTGCAGCTGCACCAGCACTCATGGTTGTAATTTCAGTCTTAGTAGGGAAAACTTCTTCCCATCCTGGGAAAGTATCTATAAACACAATAAGTTTATATCCATATTTTCTTGGCTTAATTTCAGTGAAATCAACTTATCAAAACCTCCCTGGCTCTGTTGCCCTAATTTTTTATTGCAGTTTTGTTGTTGGTCGTGGCCCTGGGTTAACATAGAAACAAATCAAACTATGTTCTACCACTCCTTCCATCAATGCATTTAGTCCTTGCACCATAAATCTTTTTTTTTTTTTTTTTTTTTTGAGGAGCTCTGCAAGCTTTGTGTTTTCTAAACATGTGGTTTGATGGTGTTGCAGAGCCAGATGTTGCCCCAGGGCTTTTGGAAGAAACACCCTACTGTCCAGGTCTTGGTACCAGTTCTGTTCTTGCTGCCTGGTGCCCCTTTTTTCTTGTATCTATAGCAAAGCTTTGCAAGAATATGGATCTGAGGGAAGAATTTAGTAAATAGAGGGAGTATGGCAGTTGCCCTCGTGGTCACTTCTCGTTAGCCATGTCCCATTCAGTATTATCACAAATGCAGTGGGAACCAACTAGCAGCTAATAGGTCTCTAGAATTTTGTCTTTGTTTGCCTTCATCTGTAAGGAGGCCTAATTGCTGGTAGATGACACCATATAGATGAGTTGTAGCAAAGGCACACATACAGACATGTAATGTGGGAAGCCATAATGCATGAAATCAGTGTGAATCTGAGCAGTAGTGGTGGCAGCTGACACATAAACTCCACCTGAAAGAGGAACTCCAAGCCTGATGTTAGACAATTCTTTTGTCTCTTTGCCTCCCACAGTCTTGGGTGTTTTTTGAGTAGCAGTCCCAGAGACTCCTCAGGGTCATGACAATGGTGTAGCTTAGCTGAAGAAGCACCAGAGACAAACTGGGGAGGGATGTCCATTTATTGGAAAGATTATACAAGCATATATACAGTGGAGGGGGAAGGTAGAAGGTTCGTCTTTATAGTACTCCCACCCTACACTGTTATTGTAACAGGCCAGTAGGAATGCCTATCACTCTGGATATTCTAATCAAGTCACTAGTTACATTCTGTAAGCAGTGTTGGGAGCTTAATGTTTTAGGCAGTGTACGGGTAGACCAAGATAAGCTAGCACCTGGGATGAAAGCTATGGCTTTGGGTATGATCATTACATCTGACTGGTAAACAGAATGAAGGTTACATTCCACTTCTCTGAGTTGCTTGCTTATCAGGGAAATACTAGCACAGCTTCACCGGGACAGAGAAATTGGGATACAGCGTGCTACTACTCGGGATGTATGCCCAGTGAACAGGCCAAGATGGAGTCTTTGTTAGCTGAGGCCACTGCCAGAGCTTTGCCTTGGAGACACAGTGTGCCATGTGCCTATGGCGTCCTGCATTGGATAAGCAGGCAGAGATGCAGGAGCAATCTGCCATACTTATTATTCAAGGAGAGACAGTCGCCAAATAGGATCCACATTTGGCCAGATATCACAGGAGAATCTTGACTCTGCACAAGTTTCATCCTTCAAATCTGGGTCTTTATCACTACAACTGCCACATGCATCAGTACATATCTGTGATTCTTAATTATTTTAGCAACAATTAACCTCACTTCTGAAATAACATGATACTCCTCATGTTTATTAAACACTGGCTGAGACTTTAAAGTATATTTCCACATCAATTGCCTTTTATAATGTTTTGTATTTGCACTATCTAACCGTTTTTTTCATTTACTTTATAAGCTCCAACAATTACAACAGGTTTATGGCAGCTACTCTGTTTACATGCTTTTGTAGTGCTGAGGTCTGTGACTCTGCTAACGATTGACTTCAGAAAGATAATTTTTCAGTCAATGCAGTAAGTTTGCCCATTTTTGTGAATATGCTAATTACTGAAGCATGTATGCTTTATACTGTGCTCAAAATGTTTGGGTGAATTCTAACACATATGTAATACATTTATGCTTTCCTATGTGAATTCTGATGCTTAACAAAACTTGACTGCTTGCAACAGGATTTTCGAAATCATATTCATGCACTTCTCATCCTGTGTGGATTCCCTGATGTCAAACGAAAACTGTTTGGTGCATAAAGGCTTTAAGACACACATTGTATTCATAAATTACCTCACCTATGTGGATGTTCTGATCTATGATTAGGTGTGACTCATGAAAAAAAAGCTTTTCCATACTCGCTACATTCATAAGGATTTTTCCCACCGTGGATTCTCTGATGTCTAATAAGGTGTGCCTCATGAAAAAACCTTTTCCACACTCACTACATTCAAAAGGTTTTTCCACAGTGTGGATATTTTGAGGTCTAATGAGGATATATTATGTTATATGCTTACTGTTACTTGTATGACTTAAAAATAAAAGATTTTCCACTCACTACATCCATAAAGTTTTTCACCTGTGTGCATGCTCTGATGAGATCAAATGTTGACTCATCAGAGAATTCTATTCCACGCTCACCACATTCCTAAAAGTTCTCCCCTCTGTGGACCCTCCGATATCTGAAGAGGTGAGTGTTACAAAAAAAGCCTTTTCCCACACTCACTACATTCATAAGGTTTTTGCCCAGTGTGGATTCTCTGATGCCTAATGAGGTTTGACTTACGAATAAAAGCTTTTCCACACTCACTACATTCATACGGTTTTTCACCTGTGTGCCTTTTCTGATGATGAATGAAATCTGAGTGGTTACTAAAAGATTTTCAACACTCACTACATTCATCAGGTTTTTGCGCAGTGTGGATTCTCTGATGTCTAATGAGGCTTGACTTATGAATAAAAGTTTTTCCACACTCACTACATTCATAAGGCTGTTCACCTGTGTGCTTTCTCTGATGATGAACGAATTCTGACTTGTTGGCAAAAGTTTTTCCACACACACCACACTCATAAGATTTTTCCCCAGTGTGGATTCTCTGATGCGTAATGAGGTGTGACTTTTGAATAAAAGCTTTTCCACACTCACTACATTCATAAGGTTTTTCACCTGTATGCTTTCTCTCATGATAAATTAATTTTGACTTATAAGCAAAAGCCTTTCCACAATCTCTACATTCATAAGCTTTTTGCCCAGTGTGGATTCTCTCATGCCTAATGAGGTTTGACTTACAAATGAACGCTTTTCCACACTCACTGCACTCATAAGGTTTTTCCCCAGTGTGCTTTCTCCGATGTAATGTAACGCTTGACTTATACAAAAAAGCTTTCCCACACTCACTACATTCATAAGGTTTTTCCCCAGTGTGGATTCTCTGATGCGTAATGAAGTATAACTTTTGAATAAAAGCTTTTCCACACTCACTACATTCATAAGGTTTTTCACCTGTATGCTTTCTCTCATGATAAATAAATTTTGACTTATCAGAAAAAGCCTTTCCACAATCTCTACATTCATAAGGTTTTTCACCTGTATGCTTTCTCTCATGATAAATGAATTTTGACTTATCAGAAAAAGCCTTTCCACAATCTCTACATTCATAAGCTTTTTGCCCGGTGTGGATTCTCTCATGCCTAATGAAGTTTGACTTATAAATGAACGCTTTTCCACACTCACTGCACTCATAAGGCTTTTCCCCAGTGTGCTTTCTCCGATGTGATGTAACGCTTGACTTATACAAAAAAGCTTTCCCACACTCACTACATTCATAAGGTTTTTCACCTGTGTGGATTCTCTGATGCCTAAAGAGGTTTGACTTTTGAAAAAAAGCTTTTCCACACTCACTACATTCATAAGGTTTTTCCCCAGTGTGCATTTTCTGATGTGTAATGAGGTTTGGCTTATCAGAAAAGCTTTTCCCACACTCATTACATTGATAAGGTTTTTCCCCAGTGTGGACTCTCTGATGTCTAATGAGGCTTGACTTACTAATAAAAGCTTTTGCACACTCACTACATTCATACATATTTTCCCCAATGTGTATTTTCTGATGTGTAATGAGGTGTGGCTTATAAGAAAAGCTTTTCCCACACTCACTACATTGATAAGGTTTTTCCCCGGGGTGGATTCTGTGATGATAGACCAAGCCTGACTGGTGGGTAAATGCTTTTCCACACACACTACATTCATAAGGTTTTACTCCACTGTGGATTCTCTGATGTCCAATGAGGCTTGACTTACGAATAAAGGCTTTTCCACACTCACTACATTCATAAGGTTTTTCCCCAGTGTGGATTCTCTGATGTACTCTCATGCTTGACTTACGAGTAAAGGCTTTTCCACACTCACTGCATTCATAAGGTTTTTCCCCACTGTGGAGTCTCTGATGCCTAATGAGAGATAATTGCTGCTGAATGGCTTTTCCACGCTTGGTGCACACATACGAATTATCTGCACTTTGAAGGATCTGATCTCTAATCAGTTCTAACTTCTGGTTCATGTTTTCTTTACATTCATTTGACATGTACTGATTTTCTTCTGAGTCAGTTCTCTCATTGGGGGCAAGGCAAGATTTATAGTAGCCAACATGAATTTCTTCTCCCACACTGCCAGGTTGCTGATTACATGGGTCTTTGGTATAAACTTGCTCACACATAAGGACTATCTTCTGCTCGCTAAAAGCTTTCTCTTTCCCATTTTGTTCAAAGGACTGCTGATAAATGTGGATCTTGTCAAGATGACTGAGATTTTCCTCACTCTCGAGGTTGTTCTCAGGAACATTAGAGGCATGCTTCTTTTCAAATGGCATTTCATCAGACTTCCTGTGGGATAAGAGGATTTAAAATAAAATATGATGTCATTTCCTCTCTCCTTTCAAAAGGCATCAGATCTCTCAGCCCCTCCTGGGATTTGCTTTGCTCCTCCCCTCTTCCAAGTTCAACTGGTCAATTAACAAGTAAAAATTAGACTAGTTCCCATTTTCTGTTTCTATACTATGTTAAAGGAAACATTCACTGAACTTTCCTGGTAACATTTGGTTTGGTGCACAATGCAGGAGTTGAAAAAGAATTTTGGCTCTAATACAAGACCTATGAGGGCAGACGTTAAAAGAGACGACTCCACCTGGTGTGTACTGAACCTGTGGATATGGCCTTAGTACCACATGCCAATGAAAAATATGAACACACCCACGTACCCTCACAACCCTCAGCCACTACCTAGCTCCGGGTAAACCTCCAGATGGATTGTACTTGGATGGGCCACAGCACACAGCAACATGAAATGGAATTGGGGAAAGACTAGACTGAGCCAGGCTGCAACACACGCTGGTGGAAAATGAGTTGAAGCAGTCCATGGCACTCACGGTGATGTTGGTGCTGGACTTATGATCCCTGGATGCAGGAGATCCACTGGAGACCTAGTAGCCTTGTCTAGGCCCTTAGGCACTGCTGTGTGATAAGCCCAGTTTATGAACCTCAGTGGTTGCATGTGTGGTGGTTTCTGTTGCCTGGCCAGAGTGCTTGGCTGGTCAGTGCAACGGGGCTGGGGTCTGTGAGCCCTGGAAGTAGAGGGTTTGCCAGGCCTCAGGTCACCTGGTTAGGATACTTTACATGCCTGCATGGTGGTGCTAGCTCAGTGAGCACTGAGGGTGGGGCTCCACTGGGGCAGGATCGACTGGCTCAAGTCTTGTAAGAACTGGTACTCCTCAGTTGAAAAGGAGGCCTGGAAAGCACATCTGGACCATCCATGAGAAAGGAGTACAAAACAGAGTGAATAACTACCCCAGCCAAATGATGATAGCAAATATTTGATGGAAAGGAGACCTTAAGGTCAACCACCATGTCAGCCAATCAATATTGAAAGGGTTCCCTCTTGCTTGAATCAGTGAGATAGACCTCATTTCAGAACTATCAGAACCACCTGGAAAGAAACTTTGGAGAGTGTGCCACATTGACACCCTGGTTTGGAGTCAGGGGTCCAGTACCCATTCTTAAGTACTAGGATGGTTGGGAGGCCTGGTATAGCTTCTCTGAATATCATTTAGCCTTGACCTACATAAAACAGGAAGGAAAAAAAGAAAATTTGGAAATGATAACACCAATTTCTCTTTAATGATCTAATACAAGCAAACAAACACATTAAGTGCAATTAAATCACACACACACACACACACACAATACACAGAAACCCAACTCATGAAACAAATGATTAAGTTGCATTCCCCTAGTCCCACCCACCTCATAATGTTGGAGGTGGGTGGAGCCTAGGCCTGCCTTGTACCCAATGTATCCACTTCGAGCGTACTCACCAGACAGGGTGAAGCCTTCCGAGCCCAGGCAGGCCAAGACTCAGCTCTTCACATAGTCATAGTGGTTGGACATTGAGCTATGTGGCTGGACTTAGCAAAGACTCCACAAGATTTCTACTGAGCCATTGGAAATGACCCTTGGCACACCATGCTTCTGCACAAACATAAACACACGCACCCACCTAACCTTCAGTCACTGTCTAGCTCCAGCTAAGCCTCCAGACTCACTGTGCTTTCAGGATGTGTGGGTGGAGGAGAAGATAAGAAGTATAACACTTTAAGACTTTAGAGGCTTTAATCACCAACTATCTGTTTTCACTCTGCTATCACATCAATTTTCATTTTAGAAGCAAGTCTTTGAGTCCTTATACTTGGGAAACTGTTGGAGGATTGACAAAAGAGGCCAATTTTCTGCATGACTTGAAACTCCTTCAGTGGATCCTGAATCTCAACTACATGACATGGGACCAAAGTTCTGGGCTCCTTTTTCATGCTTCACATTGGTTTATCCTCATTGGAGGAGGGATGCAAGTCCAGGCATCACCAAATATTCACTTTGGTTTGAGTTTTGATTGTCAAGATGTATTTATATTTACTGGAAATTCAGATATACAGAGAGGATGTGAAACACCCAGGAAGAGCTTCCATATGCTGATTCACATCCCCAAAATACACAACTGCCAGCTGAGCTGTTTCAAAGCAAATACTAGGAGCTTCTTCTGGGTCTCCCACAGAGATGTATAGTCATAAACGTGTGGGGTGTCCTCAACAGCTTTCCCAGGCCACAGGCTGCTGAGGTCTATGCAGTAGATGTGAAAGACATGAAGGTGTGAAGAGAACTTTTCCATTGCAGGCAAGGCCACAAGGAATTTTCCTGCCACATGGCAAGGCCCAGCTGGATGTCTACAACCACCTGAAAAGCAGTTCCACTTCACTTTGCATACACACTGGACAACCCCAAAGGGATTTCTGTAATTAGGCACTGTCTGTCACTGTGGAGTTGAATTTACGATAAGTGTGAGCTTGGAAGATGATGTTGGTGATAACATCTTTGCAAAAGGGTCTTTTACTATTTCTGCTCCCTCAGCTGCCCCTCTGATCATATGAAAATCAAGGGTGTTAAGTCCCTACACCTAGTGGGAACCTATGCTTGGGGTTGTCCTAAAACACTGGCCACATGCTAATCAAGGATGTTAAGTCCCTAGATGCAGTGGAAATCTATTCTTTCCCTCTTTCATTAATCTTTAAGTCCCTCCTTCTGTGATGCACTTCCTCCCTAAACTGAATCAAGACTAAGTTGGAGCATCATTTTGTAATAGGAATGTGTTACTGATTGACATGTGCCGTCTATTGAGAACTTCCTGATCACAGGATTAGGACAGCTGATATCCTGCCTCAAGGAGAAATAATTGGCAGAACTATCCTTAGGAATGCCTGTTTGACCAGGTGTGAAAAGTGGGTGTCACGGTTCGTGAAGGCTTCTGTACAAAGAAAGAGGACAGCTTTCTTGAATTGTCCATTATGATCCTGAAACTGCAGTCATCCATTTATTTCTTATGCCTACTCCAGGCGTCCTTCTTAAGGTCTGAACTTGGCTAAGCTGGACTCGTGCAATGGGCAGAGAGCTGGATATTAAGTGGGGCTGCCAGGGCATAAACCAGTGTCCATATATGATGCCAGTGCATGCAAGGTGAAGGACAGCCACTAGGCTACCATGCCATGTCCTCAGGTTTGATCTTTTGATATGACTTATATAGATGAACCCCTCTGCACTTTATATATGAGTTCAGAAAAAGCCAGTTTCTTCAGATTTGTCATTCATGTGGCTCCCTACCTCTGAGAGCTGAACAGCCATAGAATGTCCCATGCAAATTTGAAGCTGTGTAGTAGCAGCTATTTCCGTTCTGGTTGAGAAACAACCAATGGGAAGTGTCTTACTCACAGGTTCCTGTCCAGACAAGGAATGTTCAGGGGACACTTACAAACCTAAGATCCTTCTGAAAAACTTTATTGTCTCCATTCAAGAGGCACACCATCTCCTGGCTCTCCCCCAAGAAAGGCTAGTTGATTCCTTTTGCTCCCTACATTCACCTGGTCACTTTCCAAATAAAACTTCTGTCTGAAAATGAAACAAAAAGAAGAAAGAAAGAAAAAGGAGAAAGAATGGAGAAAGAATGAAATCCTATTTCTCAAGTCTCATTTTTGTACAATTTCCCTTTCATATCGTGTTTCATTTATGGCCAGAGATAATGCTAAGCATCTTTGTGGCAATGCAGCTCTCATTTTAGGTATTCTATAATTTTTCAGATTACAACTTACCTGAAGATTATTTCTTGAACTTTCTGATTAGCTCCAAGAAGCTCATTCTTTCCATGGAGATCTGAAATGAGGAAAAGAGTAATCATATCTATGAATCACATCTAAATGTTTCTTTTCAAATGCTCAAGTGAAGTCAATAGAATTGATTGCCATTCTAGATACAGCATATTTTAATATTAGTAAAATGTGGACATTTTGTGAGCATTACTAAATAGGCAATACATCTCATCTATGAATACCTTAACATAATACCCATCTTTTTAAATTAAAATTTCAATTACATGACATTATGTATTTAACTTAAAGTGGGATATGAGAGAACATATGGTACAAAAATATGAAATAAAGTTTGGGGTATCTTACATCCTATCTCAACACTAGTTTATCTTTTCCTGGATACACCGCTTCAAATACAACTGCCTGAAAAAATGTATCTTGGGAGGCAGTAGATGTGATTCAAGTGTTTAGGATCATGAAAAGACAAATATACACTTCTAAATTTATGCTGAAAGGCTGGTAAATTGCTAGAATAAACCTAGACATGGAGACTATAGAATGTCAGTGTCTCGCCAGCTGTCCTTCTGAAAGAAACTCAAAGTAAAAAATGAAATATAATTGCAGTCAACATTTACTGGACGAAGTATCTGCTTCCCTGCTGACCTACCTGGAAGTCTCTGGTTGACAGATTTCTCCACTGTCCATGGTGCTGATTCTTGCTCCAACTTGAAGATCACATCAGGCTTTGTCATGGAGTATCCTGTGAATGGAGAAGAATTTTCAGAAATCACCACTATTCCTACCAATTACTACACTTTTAAACTCCTCTTTCATTATCAAACGGTACAGAAGTGTTCTTCTTGGGCATGACAGAACTTCACTCACCCACAGACAGCAGATTGTTATAGGTCTCAAGCATCACCTCCCTGTACAGGGTCCTCTGAGTATTGTCCATTGTCTGCCATTCTTCCTGGGTAAAGTCCACAGCCACATCTTCAAAGGACACCAACACCTGTAACAGCACATGTCTCCTCAGTTCTGGATCATTCAATAGAAACACTGACAGTGCATTCTCTGTATATCTAATTTGCAACTTCTATGGATATAGTTTAATTTATAATTCATACAGCATCATAGTTAAATGAAAATAGCTTGTGCTGTATCACTTTTGCAATTCCAATAGTACAACAGAATATTCCTTATTCTCTTAAAGGTTGTGTTCTCTAATTATTCTCATTCTAATGAACTGTGGAAGGCATTGCTAGAATAGCTCTCCAAGTGGAAGATATGACTCTGTGCGTCCGTTATTGCAACTCTGCTTTTCAACTAAATTACGATAACTAATCATATTGGCACTGAGCTGAAATATTAACTCAGGACCTATAATACTATGCTGTTTAATTCTTCTGTGTGTGTTCAATTTGCATCTTCTAGGACTGCAGCTTAATTTACAATCTATATGGCAACATAAGGTAAAAACAAAATAAAACATGTTGTCCTGTATTATGTTAGCAATTCTGAAGCTACAATCCCATTATTATTCTGTATCAGATTGTTTTCTACAATAAGTATAAAATGAGATCACTGTACAATCTTTAGATACACATGAGCTAAATAACATGCTACATTAGATAATTAAGAAAAATGCTTGCTATTGCACAAGATATCGAGAAAATTGAGTAGCTTACTAATGATTTCCTCAAACATACTGATACTTAAAATTATAAAGCAATAATAAAATTCCATTTTCCTGTTTCAAAGTGAAAAAATGAAATACTGAATACCTTTTCAAACTTTACTTGCATGAGTAAATATTTCCTTCAGCTTATACTGCAATTAAATATATATAATATATGATCATATATATCAATAATACATATATATGTATACATATTCAAAAGTCAAAACAATATGGAATGCATATACATGTAATTCTAGTGTATAAATATAAAACAATATATTTTTTCTTTTTTTCACTTTTCAGTATGCACATATTAAAACTTTCTACTTGGTTTTTGCTTTATTTTTTATGGAATAACATAATTAAACTGAAGTTTTAATTTCTACATAGAAAACTACAGCTTAGGAGCGAAACAAATGATAGTCTCATACAAAAATATCTTCTTCAGACAATTACTTGGTAAAAGCTAGTCATAGCATGCCAGCTGAACAGAAGATATACATATAAGACAAATGCCATGCTGCAACAAACTTAAATCTTTTTTTTTTTAATATTCTGCAAGCCCTTTAGCATTTACCAGTTTTCTGGGTTTGCCTGTCATTCCAGTAATTTATTTACTAATTTTAACATAAAAACAGCTAATGTAGCAGATACACATACATTTAACAGTATGATACTTCTTTTGAATCCTCACTTTTCCCCTGTTACTTTTTTTTTAAAGATTTATTTATTTATTGTAAAGTCAGATATACAGAGAGGATGAGAGACAGAGAGGAAGATCTTCCGTCTGATGATTCACTCCCCAAGTGAGCGCAACAGCCGGTGCTATGCCGATCCGAAGCCAGGAGCCAGGAACTTCTTCCGGGTCTCCCACACGTGTGCAGGGTCCCAAGGCTTTGGGCCATCCTCGACTGCTTTCCCAGGTCACAAGCAGGGAGCTGGATGGGAAGTGGGGCTGCCGGGATTAGAACTGGTGCACATATGGTATCCTGGCGTGGTCAAGGCAAGAACTTTATCCACTAGGCCACACCATCAGGCCCTGTATTTCGGCTATTTCACATAATATCTTTCACTCTAGTTACACTCATTTTGCTATAATACACAGAATTTTGTTTACACATATGCTACATGTTCCTTATTTAATTATCTAATGGTGGACTCCTCAATTCATTCCACATCTTGCACATTATAAATAGTGCTGCTATAAAAATGATGGTATCTCTTTCATACGACATGTTCATAACTCAGAAAGCACAACTAGTAGTGAAAATGTAAACTTACAGCAATCTTATTGAAATTTAATCTTTTTTATTTTATTTAAGTTTTTTCTTAAAGGTTTATTTGTTTTTATTGCCAAGTCACATATACAGAGACAAAGAGTAACAGAGAGGAAGGTCTTCCATCCAATTACTCACTGCCCAAATGACCTCAAAGGCTAGTGCTGTCCTGATCCAAAGCCAAGAACCATGAGTTCTTCCAGGTCTCCCATGCAGGTGCAGGGTCCCAAGTCTACTTTTCCAGGTCACCGGCAGAGAGCTGGATGGGGAGCAGGGCTGTTGGGATTAGAACTGTGCCCATATGGGATCCCAGCACATTCAAGGCAAGGAATTTGCTTGCTAGTTTACCATTTTGAGCCCAGCAATCTTATTTTTAAACCTTTAAGAAATCTGATACTATTTTTCATGTGTTGACTTAATCTATAACTCCATCAGCAATGTATAAAAGTTCCCATTTTTTACTTCCTCACTAGATTTGTTACCAATTTCTTCCAAATAATAATAGCCATTCTGACAGGGTTCAGATATCTCATTGTAATTTTGATTTACATTTCCCAAATGGCTACATTTTGAGAACTACCTACTGAGGTCCTTTGATCATTTCTTTACTGAAGAGAGGATGCATATATTGTTAAGGTCACAAGGAGCTTGAAAGATAAAAGTTGCCAAATTGAACAACACATGGAACTTCCTGTGTCCTGGTATTTGACAAATTATTAAGAGTAATATAGAGTGACATGTGTGGCAGCCTAGCCAACCTGCCTTGAACATTCTGGGATTCCATGTGATGCCAGTTCTAATCTCGGCATCTCCACTTCCCTTCCAACATAGACATGCCTTCTCATCAATTACACTGTCACTGCTGTGTGGGAGGGCTGTCCACGACTGCCCTTATGCTTTCTCCTTTCCTATTGGATATCAGTTGTGCTCACTTTATAATAAATGGACATGCTCCCTCAGACTGTCCCTGGTGGTTCTTGCAGCCCAAGAACACTGACACCTCATCCCTTGGTGGTCTCAGGAATGTTCGCAGAAAAATCCCGAGACTCAAAAGCAATAAAAACATATACCAAAATGGACAAAGAACTAAATATATTTCTACAAAGAAGATAACCAAAAGGCCAATTAATTAGCACCAAAAAATTTTCAGCATGATTGATCATTTTAAGTGAATGAAAATTGTAACCACAATGATATACCATTTATATCTATTGCAATGTCCTTCATTAAAGCAACTCAGGCAAGGATGGCTCAAGCTGCCTTTAAGCAACCAGACCCTGTTCTGTCCTTCCCCCAACCAGCCAAAAGCAGCCAGTGGGACTAGAGTTCCTTTGGTGCACACGTCAAGGCATGGATGGCTCAAGCTGCCTTTAAGCAACCAGACCATGCTGTGCCCTTCACCTCAGCCACAGTTGGCCAGTGTGGTCCAGGGTCAAGTTTGGCACCTAATCCAGAGCAGAGTGGCTCAAGCTGCCTAGAAGTAGCCAGGCTGGGCTATGCCCTTTCCACCACCAACCAAGTACTGACACTGGGTCCAAGGTCACATTTACACTCTCAGCCCAGGCCAAGATGTCTGAAGCTGCATTCAAGCTGCTAGGCTGGGCTGCTTGACTCCCAGAAGTAGGAACTGTGGATTGCTCAAGAGAAGGGGTAAGGGGATGTGTGGGAGGCAGGACCACTGTAGCAGTATGTTGCAGCTGAGGAATGACTTCTGAAGGACTTCTACTGAAAAAAGCCACTTTACTTGAAGGGGACTAACATCTAGTGGTTTGGAAGGTAGAACTGAGGAAATTTCTGGGTCAGACGAGTGCACATGCCCACATGGTTGACCTGAACTGGGATGGTTAACATGGATTACCACCACCCACCAATGCACACTTAAGGAAGGGCTGGGGACCTGTCTGGCAGGGAAACATTACACTACTGACAACGAGTTTTATAGAAGGGGCAGATAATGTTAAGTTGGGCCACGATACCAACAAGCATGCATAAGAACCAGGTCTGGGGGTCGATCCTATGGGAAATATGACTCAACCTGTGGAACTGCAATTTCTGCTGGTTGGCTCAAGAGCTGAGAGTTGTAAAGAGCTGAGCTACACAGGAACTCTCAGACAGTCACGAATATTAGGGTTGAGAATAGGACACACTGGTCCAGGATGCATCAAAAAGCAGTCTGCTACTCAAAACAACATGCAAAGGAAACATAGCTGGGGCAGGCTTAGTATGCGCTAGAGTGTCACTGTGACTGGGATGCAGTTCCCAACTGGGGTACCTGAGAGCTGAATGTGGGATGGACATGGTTGGGCTCCACCACAGAATCCACGGGTTTGCATAAGAAATGGGACTAGAGACAAAACTTATCCAGCAACTGCAACCACCAGTGTGTGCATAGGCTGATGTAGGTGACAGAGCTGAGCTTGACCCTGGACTGGCAAGTAAACAAAAATGTCTATGATTTCTTCAGGGATCCGCATGACTGAACCAATGGACGCAGAACTCCAAAAATGTGGACAAATCTGTGCATTAATCTTGGGGTGCATGTGTCAGAACTGAGCCTCCTCATTTGCTGAATGAACATGCTCAGATGCACATAGGGGATATGGCAGTCTAATGGAGTCTGAAGATGAAGGAGGGCAGAACAGATTGGACAACTACCCCAGGCAAGTAATGACATCAAATATCTGGCTGAATGGAAACTCTAGTTGGAATGTCAACCAATCGACCTTGAAAGGATTTCTTATG